AAATAAATAAAAATAAAAATCTTGAATGAATTTTCTTATAAATCCACATAATTCCCAGCAGAAGAAAATGTGCCATTAGTGTGTCATGTCAAAGAGCAGGGCATATGGTTATAGAGACCTATATAATTTTTAGAATGTACAAGGTACTAAGAGACCCTTTCATTTCTCATAAATGTAATAAGGACTTTTAAAATACTACCCCCAAACAATAAATACATTTTCTTTCAAGTCAAATCCAATAAGCTTGATGGCAGGTGGTTTTTATTCACAAATACAGTTAAACATGAGGGGCTAAGTGTTTTGCAGAAACTCAGATTTCTACAAAGTACAAATAGTAGTGGTACATTTTGGTAACACTGAGATAATAAATAATTTAATACACACAATTTTAAGATAAAAGATAACCCAAATGGAAATGTCATCTCTTTACTGCTTGAGAAACATGAAGATCTTCCACATTAGCACTTTTTCCCTTCTCCATTCTTAGGTGATCATCTGAAATGAACAAAAACAAAAGTTAACATTAATAGGAATCCCAGGTTAATACAGGGAGATAGGCAGACATATCTGTATGTATTTTAGGATGTTATATTTTTAGTATCCTATGAGTTCTTAGATGATTTAGAATATTAAACACTACTGAAGAAATTGGAAATGTTTAGTGCTACAGACTCACTCTAACTATTCAAAAGTGTTTCTTGAGTTTCAGTGAATAGAGTGTAAGCTGAAGTAAACTCATGTGTAAGTGGTTACAAATCTCTTACATGTAAGGAATGAAATTTGCAAGAAAGGACAAGGCGTTCAGCCAGCATTTGGAGAGTTCCCAAAGCTCTTTAATTAAAACACAACCAAAAAATCTTCCAATAGAAATATTAATACTTTCCAGTAGCACCCTCTTGTGGCAAGGAGAAAACTGCCACAGTTTACATCTTCCTACCAAAATCAAAGTTATTCAAGAAATTATAGAAAATGTTCTTAGAGGCCAAAAACAAAACAATAAAGCTCCATGAGAGTTGAGAGGAGCACAGAGCACGGTGACTTTGCACAGAACTTTGCTCTGGTGATGATAAAGGAGAGTCCCTACTCACTTCTGCTTCATCTCTTTGTCATGGGGTAAAAAAGCGGGAGGACAGAAATTCTCTACTAAAGTATTACAAGACCCTAAAGAGACTTAAGATCCCAATGCAACAAAAATGCAATGCAAAAACTACATTCCTGACCACATATTAACCTTCCAAACGTTTTTTACAACTGACAAAGCAAAATCTTTCTTATGACAATTTGGTAACAGGAAAAAAAGAATAAAAATTTAGATAAGTTACTAGAAAAATACAATTCTAGCACCAAAAATACCTACTGGATTTTCCAATTCTCAAAACAATTTGATTATATACACAGTTTTATTAGTCTTCAGCAGTTCATCACCTTCAATACACTTCATAGGTCTAGATAACAGATGGAACTCTCTCTTCCTCAATCTCTGGCAACGTTGCAGGACAGAAAACAATTTCCTTAGAACATGATTTTAGGTATTAAAGTGGGGTTTGTTTGTTTGTTTTTATTAAATCATAGCTGTGTATATTAATGCAATCATGGGGTATAATGGGCTGGTTTTATATACAATTTGAAAAATGTCGTCTGGGCTGGGTGCAGTGGCTCGCACCTATAATCCTAGCACTCTGGGAGGCCGAGGCGGTTGGATTGCCTGAGCTCATAGGTTTGAGACTAGCCTGAGCAACTATGAGACCCCATCTCCAAAAAGAGCCAGGCATTGTGGCTGGTGCCTATAGTCCCAGCTACTTGAGTGGCTGAGGCAAGAGAATCGCTTGAGCCCAACAGTTTGCGGTTGCTGTAATTATGACTCCATGGCACTCTACCCAGGGCAACAGAGTAACACTCTGTCTCAAAAAATGCCATCTGCCATGTTTGAAAGATGTGCAAGAGAGTTGAGCTGATAATTATCTCTACTATAAAAATGTGGTCTTTTATTAACAATAAAAATCATTTATAGCAAAAACTATTTTGCCTCCAAGAAACAAGCACTTAGAGCAGCAGAACTAATAAACTTGCTTCCATTTCAAGGTGAGCATGCTTAATTAAACCTCATTTTTCTGCAGCACTTTGATAGTTCTGATGAGAGAAATACTTTCATCTTGGAATATTTTGAACAAATTTTTAAGTAAAAGCTAGCTTAGTTTTAGTGTTTGATATTTCAGTTGGATGAGCTTATGTAGAAGATGCTGTGATCTGGGCTCGGCGCCTGTGGCTCAAGTGGCTAAGGCGTCAGCCACATACACCTAAGGTGGCAGGTTCGAATCCAGCCTGGGCCCGCCAAACAACAATGATGGCTACAACCAAAAAAAAAATGGCCAGGCGTTGTGGTGGGCGCCTGTAGTCCCAGCTGCTTGGGAGGCAGAGGCAGGAGACTCGCTTGAGCCCAGGAGTTGGAGGTTGCTGTGAGCTGTGATGCCATGGCACTCTACCCAGGGTGACACAATGAGACTCTTTCTCAACAACAACTGTGAGCTGTGATGCCATGGCACTCTACCCAGGGGGACAGCTTGAGGCTCCGTCTCAAAAAAAAAAAAAAGAAGATGCTGTGATCTGAAGAATAATTATTTTAATACCGTCATAATCTTTTCAATGCTGTCAAATCTGTTACGCAGATGTGTCAAGTCTGTCAAGTCTGTCTTGATTTATCTGTCAAGTCTGTTACGCAGACTTCAGATAGTAAGGTAGGGCTGAGAAAGTAAATGGGATGCTTAAGGGTATTAATAGAATATGATGCAATTTTGGCTGAAAATTCCTAAGTCATTCATAAAGAGGTCACTGTTGTGGCAAGAAAAAAAATTTTTTTTTGTGCCAACTTGCCTCGCCTCTCACCTGGAGAAGCAAGAAAATTTTTGATGATCAATTTGCAAAATCTTTGTTCTTCCCCCATTAGCTCAGCAGCCATCCTCATTTCTAAGCTTTCTAGCGAGATTTCCAAAGAATGGGCACACAAAGCTACTTTTCTAACTTGAACTCAATTCACTGATGTCTCTGGCATTTTGTACAGAAAGGTATCTGCCTGCCTCTCTCTGTTTCTCTCTCCCTCCCTCCCTGTGGTATAGGGGTACCAATCTAACCTGTGACTTTCATCTCGGAAGAAGAGAATTTGGTTAAGAAACTGTTACTTATAACTTTCTTACTAGCCATTAGCCATGAATATGAAAAGCTTACAAAATAGAAAAATTATTTCTCAAGAAGTTATTTTTCCTCAGTGTCTTGGAGTTGCTGTATTAATAAGTGTTAATGTGTACCATATCCACTGATGACAACTGAACACACTGGTAAAGCCTGTCTGCAGGGGAATTAGACAACCCCTACTATATTTGTAAATATGTATGTACTTTAGACATCCACACAAGAGAAATACTTATATGTATGGACAAAGACATGTTACCCTGCAATAATACAAAAGCAGAAAATTAAAAACAGTACATAAGAGTGTAGTAAATGTACACGTCTGTGATTTAGTAAAAAAAAATGTAAAAAAGAGTGAGTTTAGTAATACTACAGAATACTACACAAACTTAAGACTGAGATCTATAAGTGAAGCAAGAGAACTGCAGGACAATATGCACAGTAACAGTGCACGTATATTTATGTGCATGGAAATGAGTCCTGGCGGACATCCACCAAACTGCTAACAGAGGTAACTTCTATGGGAAGGCAAGGGAAGGAAACTGGGGAGTCAGAGAGAAGAAAGAAGGAAAGAAGTTAAAGGGAATTGTATATGAAAATTTTAGAGATTTACTAGCGTACTTACATAATTAATGTTTTATTTTGCTTTTTAAGTACTTGCCAAATAGGCACTAATGTCAGTTCCTTACCAATCCCTGAAAATAGAATTTGGAAAACTTCTCCACAATCTTTAAATGGACAAGTATACAGGAATAGTAATTAGATGTGATTCTGCTAATAAATACCTGCTACAGGCCTTAGATGAGTCACTTAACCTCTTGGTCTTAGAAAACTCTTACAGTTTTTCTCAACTATAAAAATAAATACATGGGAATAATTTCTTTTCCAATGTTCTACCCAGCTCAGAATTCTAACATATATAGAAGGATAACTCCTAGTGAAGTCTCAGAAATAACTTCCAAAAGAAGTTATCCTGGTTCACACATATTTCAGTTTCAGACCTTAACAGACAGCAGATATTTAACACGGCCAATATTGTTTTAGTTAGGAAAACTAAAAAAAGCAGTTTGTATTTTAGGCATTTCCTAGAAGTCTATGTCAACATTTACAATTTACATTTGTTCTATAGTTCCCTGAGCCCTACCTACAACTCTTCTGGAAAATAAAGCAACTCTCTTCCAACAAGTAGAAACATTGAGCCATTCAATTCCAATGATCAAAATGGGCTCCTACTGCTGATGTACTCAGAACAACTGAACACTCATTTAGAGAGTATTCTGAAAGAAATACGGGTTTTCCAAAGTATCTCCTTTCCAAAGTATATTCCTAAGTATCTGTTACATCTAGATAACTGGCATTCTACCATGAAAAGTGCAAAGAACACATATACCCGCGACTTCTCTGTGTTCAGCAATCTTGCCCTTTACCCTTTACTTTTCAGTCATGGAGAGAAAAAAAAAAGATCACTTGATAAAAAGCTACTTATTCAGTATGCTAAAAATCTAAACTGCTCCAAAGACTATAAATTTATGTGAAAATAGGATTTTTCAATACTTCTGTATGAGAACTGTATCTAAGAAGTCTAGCCAGTAATTAGCCACCCCACTCCACTGCTCCTTCCAAAAATCATTTTGTTTTTTGGAGTAATATAGGCTAATCAATAAGATATGAACAGAACTCAATTATGACTTGACAGCTCAGGAAAAATCTCTCCAAAGGTAAAAATATATAGGAAGAAAATATACTTGCTGACAGCTAAACGGTGACTCTCAGAAAACACATACCTATTTGCTTTCTTCTACTAAGTTGTCTGCCAAGATTTGGGTTTGGAGGCTGAAGTGAAGGGCCTTTAAGAAATGCGTTCTGGATGCCATCCTTAGTTCCATGCATGAAATAAGCTAAAATTCCATATAAAAGAGGTCTAGAGCAGGAAGAAAACAAACAAACAAAAAATCAATTAAGTGTGCATAAGCAGGAAAAGCTTAAAACATTTATTCTTTAAAAGGTAACCTGTGGGCTCAGTGCCTTAGCGGCTAAGGCACTGGCCACAGACACTAGGGCTGGCAGGTTCAAACCCAGCCCTGGCCTGCCAAACAACGACAACTGTAACAAAAAATAGCTGGGTGTTATGGCAGGTGCCTTATTGTCTCAGCTACTTGGGAGGCTGAGGCAAGAGAATCACTTAAGCCCAAGAGTTTGAGGTTGCTGTGAGCTGTGACACCATAGCATTCTACTGAGGGTAACATAATGAGACTCCGTCTCTAAATAAATAAATAAATAAATAAATAAATGGTATCCTGTGACACCAAAATGGCCAAATATTTCACTAACCTTTAAAAAACTGCATGATGGGCTTGGCACCTATGGCTCAAGTGGCTAAGGCGCCAGCCACATACACCTAAGGCGGTGGGTTCGAATCCAGCCTGGCCCGCAAACAACAATGATGGCTGCAATCAAAAAAAATGGCCGGGTGTTGTGGCAGGCGCCTATGGTCCCAGCTACTTAGGAGGGGGAGGCAGGAGACTCACTTAAGCCCAGGAGTTGGAGGTTGCTATGAGCTGTGATGCCACAGCACTCTACCCAGGGGGACAGCTTAAGGCTTTGTCTCAAAAAAAAAAAAAAAAAAGACTGCATGATGGCCGTGCAGTGGTTCATGCCTATAAATCCTAACTCTAGAAGGCCAAGGTGGGTGGATTACCTTGAGCTTAGACTCAGCTCTGAGCTCCAACTCAACTCAGAGTTGGAAACCAGCCTGAGCAAGACCGAGACTCTGTCTCTACTAAAAAAAGAAAAAGAAAAACTTGCCAGGCATCAGGTCAGGCGCCTGCAGTTCCAGCTACTTGGGAGGCGGATGCAAGAGAATCACTTGAATCCAAGAGTTTGAGGTGGCTGTGCGCTACAATGACAATATGGCACTCTACCCAGGGTGACACAATGAGACTCTTTCTCAACAACAAAAAAACCTACAGGATTATTGCTCTTAAACTTAATGAGTATCGTTTAATTTACATAACGATTTTAAAATGCAGAGAAACCATGTTAACAACTGAATGCTTTAACAACCTTTTTTTTTTTTTTTTTTTTTTTGTTCTGAGACAGAGTCTTATTTTGTCACCCTCAGTACAGTGCTGTGATGTTATAGCTCAGAGCAAACTGAAACTTCTGAGCTAAACAATCTTCTTGCCTCAGCCTCCCAAGCAGCTGGGACTACAGGCATCTGGCACGACCTCTAGCCAGTTTTTCTATTTTTAGAGACAAGGTCTCAGTCTTGCTCAGGCTGGTCTCTAACTCTTGAGCTCAAGCAATCCACCCACCTCAGCCTCCCAGAGTTCTAGGATTATAGGTGCAAGCCATGCTCCTAGCCACATATTAACAACTTAAACCATCTATACTAAAATACAATTCTTCTCAATCCAGAGGAATTCACCTTTTAAACTGCAGTGTAATATTTCCCAGTACCTAACACTGTATGATATACAAACATGTCTGCTGAATGAATAAATCCCTGCTAGAGAAGGCCTTATGTCCTGAGAGCCAGGCTGCCTGTATCCAAATCCTGGCTTTGCCACTTGCCAGCTGTAGGACCTTGGGTCAGGGATAGTTTGTTTTCAGATGTCCCTGACTCTTCCCCCTCCCACACTCATTGGTTTATGACTGCTAATCTCTTCAGTCTCACTCTATTGTCCAGGGTAGAGAACAATAGTATCATCACAGCTCACAGCAACTGCAAACTCCAGGGCTTAAGTGATCTTCCCACCTTGGCCTCCCCAGTAAAATGGACTACAGGCTCTCACCACAGAGTCCTGCTAAGTTTTTCTACTTGTTAGTATGGACAGAGTTTTACTCTTCCTCAGGCTGCTCTTGAACTCCTGAGCTCAAGGTCCTGCCTTGGCCTCCCAGAGTACTAGGATTACAGGTATGAGCCACTGCCACCAGCTCAAGATGATTTTTAAATGTTTAAAATTTTATTTTTTAAATTCTGGGCATGTTGGCTCACATCTCTACAAAGAAAAAAAAATTTTTTTTGAGACAGAGTCTTACTATGTTGCCCTTGATAAAGTGCCATGGGGTCACAGTTCACAGCAACCTCAACTCTTGGGCTTAAGTGATTCTCTTGCCTCAGCCTCCCAAGTAGCTGAGACTACAGGCACCCACATAATACCCAGCTATTTCTTTGTTGCAGCTGTCATTGTTGTTTAGCTGGTCTGGGCTGGGTTGAAACCCACCAGCCTGGGTGTATGTGGCCAGTGCCATAACTGCTGTGCTACAGGTGCCAAGCCAGCACTGCAGATTTCTGTAAGTAAATAATATGAGCAGTACAGCAAACTTCGTGAATACAAAATCACTGAGGTTTGAGACACAAGGACTCTTAAAGAAGTCACCTATCTTTTTGGAAATAAAGCTGTTTACCAACCTACTTCTTAATATTATCATCTGCAGGACATGTCTCAAAAGCTACCAAGAAGCCAAAAAGAGGCCAGGTCTGGTGGCTCATGCCTGTAATCCTAGCACTCTGGGAGGCCAAGGTGGGTGGACTGCCTGAGTTCACAGGTTCAAGACCAGCCTGAGCCAGAGTGAGACCTGTCTCTAAAAATGGCCAGGCATTGTGGTGGATGCCTATAGTCCTAGCTACTAGGGAGGCTGAGGCAAGAGAATCGTTTGACCCCAAGAGTTGGAGGTTGCTGTGAGCTATGATGCCATTGCACTCTTACCGAGGGCAATAAAGTGAGACTGTCTCAAAAAAAAAAAAAAAGAAAGAAAGAAAAAGAAAATGGGATAGAGTGGGAAGGCAAGAGGAGGACAAAACCTGGGGAGTGCCCACAATTTAAAGGAACTCCAATGGAGTCAGTGAAACTGAGACCACCATTAGGGAGACAGGAAACCTAGGACAAAAAATAAAATAAAATATTCAACTTAAAAAAAAAGAAACAAATACAAAAGTGTTTTAAGGAAGAATAGTAAATATTACAAAATGCTACAGAAATTCAAGTAAAACTGAACTTTTCAAATTAGAAATACACATATTGGTATACATATGTATGAATGTGTGTATATATATATACACACACACATATACCTACTCTTGGTGCGAGAGCCCAAGAGTGTTAGGAACTTGGCACAAAATGTATGATAAAGGTGGCATATGATCCTGGAACATTAATTTTACACAAAGATTTGTAGAAGAGTTACGTTTAACAGGCATGTCACTTAAAACACTGAATGGTAATACAATACAATTTTACCATGAAGTAAAATGAGAAAAATTCAATGAATTTTTAAAATGAGAAAACAAAGACATTTCTAGCTAGGGAAAGGCTACTTTGAGCCATATCCTCAGGCCTCCTAAGTACAATTTTTTTTGTTGTTGTTGTTGCTAATCAGGGACCCTCTGACTAGCAGAGTTGAATAAACACTGAGGTAGGAGGCTCAGCGCCTATGGCTCAAGTGGCTAAGGCGCCAGCCACATACACCTAAGGTGGCGGGTCTGAATCCAGCCTGGGCCGGCCAAACAACAATGATGGCTGCAACCAAAAAATAGCCGGGCATTGTGGCAGGCAGGCGCCTGTGGCCACAGCTACTTGGGAGGCTGAGGCAGGAGACTCGCTTGAGCCCAGGAGTTGGAGGTTGCTGTGAGCTGTGATGCCACAGCACTCTACCCAGGGGGACAGCTTGAGGCTCTGCCTCCAAAAAAATAAAAAAATAAAAAAAAAAACACTGAGGTAGGAAAAGAAGAAACTACTAGAAAAAGGTCACCCTCCTTTTCAATAGCACAGTTTCAATATAAATGGTGAGAAGAGAGTGTAAGATTCAGGGAGGGCAAAGGAGAGGGTAATAGCAAAATGAATGCAGAGGTTGATTCAGAATGTTTGGTAGCAAAAAGGATGTCAAGCAGTAGCTTGGGGGTGGGTTTAATGAGATTTTTTTTTTTTTTGAGAGAAGAGACCTGAGCTGAAGTGTAGGAAGCAATGGAGAAGACTTAAATATGAAGAAGAAAACAAATGATAAAACAAAGCCTCAGAAGGAAAAAAGAAATGGATCAAAAAGCCAAAAGAATTACCCTTAGAAAGAAGTACAGATACTTAAGTCACTCCCAAGCCACAGGAATTTCAGCTCCAGCAGAGACCTTATCTGACTTATTCACTGCTGCATATCTTGGATTTAGGACAATGCTTAATAGATGGGAATAAATACCTGCTAAATTAAAATGAAATAAAACCACAACTTTGCAATTATGACTCTAATACAATAATATCTGAAAATACACATTTTTAAAATTTCTTACATTGTATTATCCTTTGATTCTTCAAATGCATTTAGTTCACGAATGAGAAATTGTCTGTCCAATGGAACTACAGGTTGACCAGATTCTGGGGGCAAAAAAAATTCATAAAACACTGAGTCAATTAAAGCAAATATGATTTTAATAAGAATCACACTTAACCAGGTATATGCATTATCCAGATTTTGAAAAATGACAGTACACACAAGTAAATTTCTCTTTAACCACCCACCCCATTCCAATACCATTTCTTTTCCTCTCATCACTAAGGTGTTTAGAGTTTATCTACCTAGTTCTTTTTAAATACTGTGCTTTTACATACATACATTTGTATATATCCTTAACCAATATTTTAAGGTTTTATCTCCATTTTCTATTCTTAAATAAGAATATATGTTTAATTGTATCTTGAAAGCATATACATGGAAAAAACTAGCAGTAAACAGGATAAAATATCAACAATTATTTATTGTCAGTATCAGGAATTATGACTCACACCTATAATCCTAGAACTCTGGGAGGCCGAGGCAGTTGGATTGCCTGAGCTCACAAGTTCGAGACCAGCCTGAGCCAGAGAGACCCCTTCCCCCCTCATCCCCCTCCCCCACCCCGTCTCTAAAATTAGCCAGGCACTGTGGCAGGCGCCTGTAGTCCCAGTTACTTGGGAGACTGAAGCAAGAGAATCACTTAAACCCAGAGAGTTTGAGGTTGCTGTGAGCTGTGATGCCATAGCTCTCTACTGAGGATGACAAAGTGAGACTCTGTCTCAAAAACAAAAAAAGGAAATTATGGGTGATTTTTCAGTTATGTGCCCAGTTTAAGTACTTACTTATTTTCTCTGCAGTATAATAGGCCTCATGAAAATTTAAGCTACAGAAAAAGTCCATGTGATCTTTATGTCCCAGTCACCCAGATGACACTATATGGTCATAGAAATAAATTTCCAGGCTAAATACTTTCTGAGAATCGTGAGAAGGGGAGAAGCAGACACTGTCTTAGGTGATGAATAGTAACCACTTACCTGCCATGAGGACGGATGCTGTATACTTATATTTGTTGAATTCCAAATACTCCCGAATTAATTCATTAATTAGAAGGTTTTCATGAGACAATGATGGTCGGGGTTCACGGTCATCATCTAGGGCACTGAAAACTTCAGCTCGGATCCTTGCTTTTAAATGCCCTAATACTCCCTTTTTTTCCAAGGTGTCCTTTAAAACTGTTCAATATAAAATATTAGTCCTTAAGTTACGGAGTAATTTTATGTAAAATTTTGTGTAATTTAATGTAAAATTTTAATTTTATGTAAAATTTTGTGTAATTTGGCTCGGTGCCTGTGGCTCAAGCGGCTAAGGCGCCAGTCACATACACCCAAGGTGGCGGGTTCGAATCCCCAGCCCGGGCCCGCCAAACAACAATGATGGCTGCAACTAAAAAAAATGGCCGG